CTGTAAAATTTTTTTTTTATAAAATTTAAAAAAAAAACGTACATTTGTTGCGGTGGATAACTCAGGATTATGGTAAACTGACGTCATTGTTTCCGACTCACCAACTTCTATGTTCAGTTTTTCATTGAATTTACATGATATTAAACCTGTTTATTGGTGACATTCTGCTGTAGCAGTAGGTAATTGTAGTTGTGCGTGGTTCTTTATTTTGAGGAAATTGGTTTTGGAAAGTCCTTGAAAGGTCCTTGAATTTGATGTTGACCAAGGTGGGGGGAACCCTGATTATTGTTCATAAAGTTTCTATAGAACTCTCCTAAGCTATAGGTGTGACAGGTTTTCTTAAATTCGGCAGAGGTGCGTGAATGACATAAACACTTGTAATTATTTCCCCTCCAGGCAGGAGAAGGAGGCCTGGATCAAGTGGAAATATGTCGAGAAACGCTTCGTGAAAAAGATGAGTGGGGGAGAGGCGCTGGTGGAGGGAGAGAGGAAGTCCCGCCCCTGGACGGTGAAGAAATGCCAGAGACACAGCAGCTCCGTCCGGGCCCCCAACAAGGCCCGCAGGAAATACCACCGCTACGAACCTGGCAGYGCCTCCCCTGCAAACCTCTCAGCAGGTCTGTGCGGAGAATTAGGCTCGGGTTTAACACCGTGTTCAAACGTTCTGAAACACATCCGTCGTTTTTGTTTTATCGTCTGCAGCAGCTGCAGCAAAGTTTCGCCGGGACTCGCTGTTCTGTCCGGACGAGCTGGACTCGCTCTTCTCTTACTTCGACACCGGCTCCGGGCCTCGCAGTAAGTTCACAACGCAATTGCATCAAAATGGCAAAACAGTTGTAGACATGAAGGAATGGCATGGTAAGATGTTTTGATGATGCTTGTTTCTGGTCCGGTTGGTTGTGCCGGTGTAATGATTAACGTGTCCGTGGCTTGGCGATGCTTGGCCCCGCAGGTCTCAGCAGCGACAGCGGCTTAGGGGGAAGCACTGACGGCAGCACGGACATCCTGGTCTTTGGCTCAGTGGTGGACAGYGTAACAGAGGAAGGTGAGCAGGCGGGTAGAAAATGTCTTTATTACCTGATTATTTCATAACGAACACTCATTTTATCCCTCAAATGAAGTCCTGCTACATTCCTTTTGAGTTTAAAAGTTTTGTTGTGACGTCCATGGTTTGCTCGCGTGCAGAAGAGGAGTCGGAGGAGTCTTCCAGCGGCGAGGTGGAAATTGAACAGGAAGTGAATTCAGACCCTGAGGATCCGAGGGAGTTGCACCCGGGGGCGCTGCTTTACCGTTCCTCCCGCCTCCACAACCTGCCGCTCATGGCCGAGGCGCTGGCCCACGGCGCCGACGTGCACGGTTCCAACGAAGAAGAGGAAGGAAAAACGCCCCTCATACAAGCTGTGATCGGGGTGAGAAATCTTTTATTTTCTTCACGTCGCCACCGTTTCAGCTCTAGCTGCAGGTTGAATTTGTACCCAGCTTTAGACTATTTGATCTGACTCCATTTGTGTGCTTGTGTCTCCTGCGCAGGGCTCTTTGATAGCTTGTGAGTTCTTGCTGCAGAATGGGGCCGACGTGAACCAGAGGGACATGAGAGGCCGGGGCCCCTTGCACCACGCCACCTATCTGGGACACACTGGGTAAGAAAGGCCAACAACTCAGAGGATTAGGGTTTGTTTACACCTTTGCATGTTGCAACTAGCAGGTGTTCAAGGAAATAACTGGGCTCTGACAGAAAATGACGCGTTTGAATGAATGTATCTGTGGCAGTTGGTACGTGACGCAGTTTTACTTTCTGCAGGACAAACTGACACTGCAGACGTTTTTCCCCTCAGGAGTGAATAATCTCTTTACTGTATGAGTCCTGTGTTTCCGCTGTCAGTTCAGTTTAATCAACACTTTCACTTCCTAGGGTAATAATAATAGGGTAATAATTAACAAGTGAGTCAGTTTAAATCTGAATCACAGCCACATGTATTAGTCACCGTTTGTCTATGTCCTGCAGTATTTTGCATAAAAATAATAATAAAGTGTGAAGTAGCTGAACAGGTCATCCTGCTGATGCTAAAGTAYGACAGAAAATAGCAAAGATTACATTACTGCACAGAGCCATGGTAACTGATCACGATTATATTTGTCTCATTTCTATTTTAACTGATGTTCACTCTTTTTATCTTGCTTTGCACAGTCAGGTGTGTTTGTTCCTAAAGAGAGGAGCTTCACAGACAGAGGTGGACGAGCAGGGTCACGATCCTCTCAGTATCGCTGTCCAGGCTGCAAATGCAGACATCGTTACCCTGTAAGACATCTCATCACATTTAACATGTCACCGATGAGAAAAACTCTTTTTATTGTTTGGGTTTTGTTTTGTTTATTCAAATTTGAGCAAGACAGTTTCATTTTCCACAAAACTAAAAAAAAGTAAATGGTTTATTACAAGGATGGGCAACTGAAATAATGGAAGGGGCCAAATTTTTTTGTTGACACTACCAGAGGACCACACAGTGCTGCATTTATACCTAAATGTAATAAAACTGCTATTTTAAAAGTGTTTATGCATATTTATTAAGCCAACGTACAGTGCATGTACAGTATAGCAGAGAGGGACTCATGTTTAATAAATATAAATACAAAATGTTTGAAGCAAACAAAAAATAAATGCTTACTGAAGTGAGCATTATACATTATAAGATGCCTTGAGTGCCTTGAAATTATGTGTACAGTATATAAATATAATTTATAAAAAAAATAAAGTTAAAAATAGTAAATTTAATATATATATAATTTTTATTTATTTATTTATTTATTTTTTACTAAAAATGTTCCTCCTCATTGGCGGCCGGACGGAGGTCATCTGCAGGCCAAATGTGGCATGCGGACCATCACTTGCCCATCTCTGGTTTATTCCTTTGTTTCAATATTAGAGAGAAAAATATAATTTAGATCTTCTCACTGAATAGTTTGTCTGTTTTGGTCAATATAATCAACTGTTAAATTATTTGTATGGGACGGTTTTTCTGTCATGATTACAGAAGATTCTTCTGGTGGCTTTCTGTAAATTATCTTCTTCCTTCTTCTTGTCCTTTGTTTTGTGTGTGTGTGTGTGTGTGTGTGTGTGTGTGTGTGTGTGTGTGTGTGTGTGTG